TTTTGTATAAAAGTAAAAATACAGAGCAAAGAATGTTAAATGTTTATGCTTTTTCTTAATAGTTTACTGCAGCAATAATGTATTTTACCGTAAAATCTCACAACTGTTACTAATATTTATAAGGTCTAACTTCAACTTAATATGTTTTTAAATCAATTTATCAATTTATTTCATGGTTTGAAAATGTTGAATTGAAATTTTATGTTTATATGAAACAGCTCTGACCAATAACGTCCTCAGATCCATTTTAAAAAAGTGCGGTTGTGGATTAAAGAGGGTAAACGTAAGCACTACGTCTCATCAGCTAGATTTCCAGGCAGCAGAAATTATTGGTAAGTTGTTTATACAAGTTAGGGAAAAGAAATTTAAATTTATGTCCTGCAAAAATGTCTTGGCCATACTTCATCGTATGGATTACAAAAATTATTGACATTGAATGTAGATGTTAAGAAAGGATTAATAAGGAATTTTAAAATTAATTGAAGTTAACATAATTAATTAAGTTTTCCTTTATTAATTTGTTTAACTTTTGAGAGAAATATCTGATGCCTCTAGAAACTTTAAAGGTAGAAGAAATTATTTCACTTGTATTGGACAGAGTAAATTATATTAAAATTACTATGAATATGAAAGACAGCAAGTTGCATGACAGTGGCATGGAATGTATCATAACTACATTTTGACATCGTTTGACATTTTGTAGGTAGCGTGATACCACTTTAAATTAATTATTATTGGGAAGGGTATATGACAGCTCTGTTCGACATAAGGTATTTATACGCTAATATCACAAAGAATGTTTTAAGACTTGTGATTTAGTATTTCTAATATAGGAATATCCCTTAGGCTTAATGTCATTGGAAAACAAAAGAATCTGGAGTACCATATCGGGGTACCCTGGAGCATCTAGAAAGTGGAGTAATTGGATAAAGTTAACAAAAATGTTTGGTGCACCTATTGATTTCTTGTTAGAAAAATCCAAGAAATTACTAAGTTCATGAATATGAATGCTTAAACTTTTTGAGAGGGTTAAACATTCCCTTCACAGTAGATGATTAACACATGGTTTGTTGTCAGCTTAACAATCTGTATGCTGTTACACTTATTCACTGGATTTAGTGGTGCTTGTAAATATTCAACATTTTAGTGTAAATCTGAGTTTAGTATTGTTGTTATCCAATGTGTCACTGTAGGTTAGTGTTAAATTATAAGTAATCTATTATAATTATTCAGTGTATTAGTGTTAAGGTACAGATCTGATTTTATTATTATCCAGTAGGTTAGTGTTTAGTTATATGTATGGTGTTACAGTTATTTAGTAAGTTAGTTTTAAGGTACAAGTATGATATAATTATCCAGTTGGTTAGTGTTAGTTATAAGTATGCTGCAATAATTATCATTAAATTATTTTAAGGTACAAGTATGATCTTCTAGTTATTCAGTAGGTTAGTGTTAGTTATAAGTATGCTGCAATAATTATCCAATTGGTTAGTGTTAAGTTATAAGTATGCTGCAATAATTATCCAGTTGGTTAGTGTTAAGTTATACGTATGCTGCAATAATTATCCAGTTGGTTAGTGTTAACTTATACGTATGCTGCAATAATTATCATTAAATTAGTTTTAAGGTACAAGTATGATCTTCTAATTATTCAGTAGGTTAGTGTTAAGTTATAAGTATGTTTTATATATGTATATCTGCTTTTCTTGTTATACAGCCCAGTTCTGTCCAAACTTAGAAGCCGTAGATCTGGCACAGATTAATCTCACCAACATGTCCTTAAAGCAAATGTCTAAAAAATGTTGCAATCTCAAGGTAAGGTTGTGATGAGTTAGATAAGATTTGATAAATTTCTGCAAAGTTTAGTATAACTATAAGTGTTTGAGCTAAGTTTCTAGGTGACAATCCCAGGAGTAGCATCAACAGGGGCTGAGACCCCCTCGTATAGAGGTCAGCTGGCTTGCAGGAGGTAGAAGAAAGTTTCTTTACTGATGTTACCAGTGGTCTTCTGGCTGTATGTTGACTTTCTTCTTCATTTCTTAGCTGTATCTTAAGGTACTTTGTTATTCAATATTATCATTATTTCTGAATGTTGAAGACCTTCCATGGTGCTATGTTTGCTTTACTAGTTCAGAAGAGGTCAATGTCCTTCCAGTGGAGTTGTACCAGATTTGATAAGGGGGCTCTTACGAGCTTATTAGCTTCCTCATTTAGCTTTATTTTTGTGTGGTCTAGCTCATGTCTCAAGATTATTGTTTTAGCATGTAATTGTTTTGATTTCTGCCATCTACAGATATTTTACATAGTACTGCCTGTAAGTCATGGATATTATGTTGGTGGCCCGGTTTGTTTACAGATATTTTACATAGTACTGCCTGTGAGTCTTAGATATAATGTTGATGGTCCTGTTTGTTTACAGATATTTTACATAGTACTGCCTGTAAGTCGTAGATATTATGTTGGTGGCCCTGTTTGTTTACAGATATTTTACATAGTACTGCCTGTAAGTCGTAGATATTATGTTGGTGGCCCTGTTTGTTTACAGATATTTTACATAGTACTGCCTGTAAGTCGTAGATATTATGTTGGTGGC